TCACTACGTTGACGTTCAACCCCCCCCCCGATTGGTGACACTGTAACAGCTGATTTACGTCAAATGCAATTGTTTGTCCAATATAGTTAACCGAATGCAATACTAGGTATCTCGGTATTGAAGTTGAAAATGTTCCTAGACCAGAATCACAGTGCCCCGACCGAAGCAAATACCCAAGAAGAATTGGAGGCATTCTGTGACGTTCTAGATGACACATTTAATTACCATCATTCACTCTTGAACTTCGTTATCGGAGACTTTAATGCTAAAGTGAGGAGAAATCTATACCCAGACGAAGCAACGAGTAGCTTCGATTGGGAAAAAAGAAACGACAAAGGCCAGTCCACTTTGCAGAGACCAAAAACTCAAAATTATAAATACTTTTTTTTTTAAAAAAAAACAAGACCAGAGACGCGAACGTGGTGCTCTCCAGACGGCAAGACTCGAAAGAGATACTTACTTATCAAATACACAACGTTCAGGAAATGGCTACTATCTCTAACTTCAGAGTCGACTCTGACCATAGAATGGTTGCAGCAAAAATAGGAATTTCCAGAAAACAAGCATTGCAGTGTAAAACGAAATTTACTAAAGAATTGGAAAGCAGCGATGAACTACACATACGTTAACTCCAAGAAGTACAGCAGGAAGACATTTGAAACAGGGAGTAACACAAAAAGACGGAAGTAATCGTGAATTTCGAAAGGAGATTGTTAAATACGCAATTGTTTTGTAGAGAACTGTATACTACTTCATCCGACAAGTGCAGCATAGCCGTACAGGAAGATACTGCTAAAGAAGAAACCACCCCACCAATCCTTATAAGCGAAGTCTGGTCAGCAATAATGGAATTAAAGCCAAGAAAAACATCCGGTGTTGACGGTATGACACTGAACATCTGAAAATTGGTTTACCAGCGCTCGCTCCTGAAATCTCAAAACTATTTTACAAAATTCTTGAAACAAAAGATATTCCAATTCAATGGCTGGAAAATATAATCAGCACACTAATTCCGAAAAATTGATCTACAAATGATTTAAATATTTATAGACCTATTTCCTTAATGTCGCGCGCACACACACACACACACACATATATATATATATATATATATATATATATATATATATATATATATATATATATATAAAGACTATCCAGTTTGACTTAGAACAACCCCTTCAGAAAGCAGGCTTCAGGATTGGGGTTTCCTCAGCAGATCACCTCCAGGTATTAAAACAAATCGTAGAAAATACAAACAATACAACCCTAAACTTTATATAGACTTTAAAAAGGCGTTCGACTGTGAAGAGCACCGAGTACTATTCCAGGTTTTACATGAACAATGTATACACCGGAAATATATAATACTAGCCAAAATATACTCAGTGAGCAATGCTCGAATACGTAAGAAACAGGAGAGGCTTTCCTGTTGCAAGATCATCCCCATATCTCCTAAACTTTTCACATGTATTCTGGAAGACTAATTTACGAAAATGAACTGGAAAGACCGATTTGGTATTATAATCAATGGAAGAAAATTAACAAACCTGAGATTTGCAGACGATGTTGTTCTCTTTGCAAACACGGCAAAAGACCTGGGACACATGATGAAAGAGTTATACGTGCTAAAAAGTGGGTTTAATTGTGAACATATTCAAGACAAAAATAATGACAAATCACCAAGAGTTACCAATTGCATTTAATCAAAAGCACGTGGACTATGTACAAGAATACATTTACGTAGTGCAACTTATCTCTTTTATGAAAAGTGGCGAAAACGAAATAATTCGCAGAATCTCCGTGGCATGGAACAAGTTGTGGAGTTTATCTTACTGGATAAGCTGAAGCTAAACATAAAAAGAGAAGTAATGGATATGTGCGTCCTTCTGGTCTTGATTTACGGAGCCCTGACGTGGTCGCTGACTGAGAAGCAGAATATGCTGAGGTTAAACCAAAGACAAATTTTACGCATATCCCGAAAGGACAAGATCCGTAACTTCGAAATCCGAAAACGAACCGGCATCCAGGATGTGGTGATGGGGCAACGGACACCAAATGGAAATGGGGAGGCCATCCCAAGAGAATGAAGTAACAACGTTGGGCGCGAGAGGCGACGGTGTGGGATACATCAAGGCCGACAAGAAACAAGATGGCAAGATTGCTTCGGGAAGGCAGCGGGTGGTCCAGAGTGGCAAAAGACGAAGAAAAGAGAAAGTGCATTCAGTCGTGTAATATAGAAAATGAGATCATGGATTGTGTAATTTTAACTAATGGATTGACTTTGTGTAATGTTGACTAGTATAATTGTACAACTCGGACTACAACTACCTCTTGCCACCTGGAATTTTAATCTAGGTGGCGTGGGGAACTTGCCTGCGTTCCGTAGACCTTTGCCTTACCAGGGATCATGCAGGCTCTAAGAGTAAAGAAAAGCTCTAAAAATGAAAGTCCTAAGCGATGGAACGGTATTTCCTTACATTTACAAAGACATAAGAAAATACTTCGCTGCGATCCATCATTGTTGACTTCCCCCTTCTCCCCACCCCAATTGTATGTTATGATTTTTGATAGATGTATTTGATCTACTTAGGCTTTAAAACCCGGTGGTAGGTTTCTAAGAAATATTACAACGCAGTAATTACTACGAATATTGCTAAGACTTGCCACCTTTCGGCGAGTTGAAAGCGGTATTAATTCATTTCGAGCGAGTGTTATACCAGAGAATTTAGCGGCTATCTTCTGAATTTTCTGTAGCTCTTGAATTTGGCCGAGTGTGAAGGGATCCCAGTATATTCTGGGTGCTCAGGCGAAGCATGTGCCAAGCATTTTAACATTGCAAGCGGCTTTCTTCAAAGTACGCGTACGAGATTCCTAAATGCAGGACTCTCCACGGTTTTCCCAGTGTCATCTTTCCGTCGCATGTCACTACGTAAAATGATACCTAAATACTTTATTTGCAAGTTACCTTTACACTTCGCCAAGACCAAGGAAAGTTGTACTTTGCGACTTCGCTTCTCTCAAGAGATATATGAAGTTTGGTTGGTGCATTAATTGCGTTGTTTCTTTGCTTTTTTTTTCTTTTCGCAGCAACTGCTGGTTCTTATGAAGTATGTGTTATTATCATTACGTAAATTAGTATAATAAATTTTGCTGAATCGTCACTACCACTAGACGGTGATGCTTCATGTAGCAGTGACCCCTGCAACGTGATGTTTCAACACTTTAATCGTACTTGAGTCACCGAGAAAAGGAAAAAAGAAATAAATCGAAAATATCGGGCAAAAAGAAACGGAAGAAAGAAGAATTAGAAGACATAATGAGAAGAGTAAAAGGGAGCAGGGGGGAAAACAGAAAACGAAAAATAATGTGAAGTTGAAAAGAAAAATATGCTGAAGAAAGAGAAAGGGCAGTGGAAAAGAATTACGATAGAACTGTTGACTTTGCCAAGCTTTTCATCTTACAAAGACCGCCATAAAGAATTTCAACAAAACCACGCAGTTAAAAATTTATTACAAATAAAACTAAATGAAATAAATATATAAAATGTAAGTTCTTCCAACATTTAGTTGCTTGAATCAGGCTGAATACAAATAAGGGGATTGAAATGGGGTGGATACTAAACATCGTAATATACAATCTGTCGTAACAGCAAGCACGAACGTGTTGTACCGTCATTGTATGCAACAGCTTCAATACAGTTGCATTGTGTACATAACAGTAGGATAAATTCTAGTGTATTATCCGTGCGTTTTCATGAGCCCTAGATGCGAGAGGAGTGGGAAGTTTGATTACTTCGCCGACAGGACTAGTATTAATATCAAATCTGTAGCTTGTTTTTCGATGCAAAATAGTTCCTAAAGTACACAGGAGGGAATTTTTCTGTAAAATAAGAATTTGTGTTTTTTCAGATTTTGTCAACGCTCGTTGCTATCATTTATTCTTAATTCAACTGACGTTTGTAAAGAAGTGGAGATAAATATTTGGGGGCTCAATAAAACTTGCGTGTAGTATCAAGTCATTTGTAATCGGACTATAACTCCGCATGGCAGTGTCTGAGAGGCCACCGTGCCCACCTGGATCTGGAGGCCACATCCGTCCTGGCCTCCGAGCTATTTTGTACGGCACGCGATATTCGTGGATGTTAGTTAACTGTAATTAACAGTGGTTAGTAAGACTACGTCAAAAGATCAATTGGGCTCATTGAAGTATTAGAAGAAAGGTGCATGGACGCGTTTGCGTAGTATATCGTGATTTTTGAATACTTTATTCACTGATATGGAAGAGTCCAGTTGGAGTGAAAAAAGTAATGACATAATCTGGAATTTGTTGGAAGTTCCCTTTTCAGCAAGAACACATTGTGATAGATCATTGTGATAGACAAGAAATTTTAAGATCAGATAATCCATGTTAAAAAAGGATAAAAATAAAAGTCAATCATTTCATTGTTCATTGTATGTTAATCATAAATGGTTGTGTGGAAGTAATGTAATGGGAAAATTATTTTGCTGGCCATGTTTGCTATTGAGTAAAAATGTATGGACCTCAGAAGGAAATGAGGAATTGAAAAACTTGGCTAGAGCTCGAACTAGACATGAACTAGTAAAGACCATGCAAATGCATATGTGTCATTTAAAACCTTATTAAGGGAAATGCTAGTAATCTGGAACTTGGTGAATGAACAGGACCAATTTTTAAAATTGCAATAAAATGAAGAAGTGAGAAAAAATAGGGAGATTTTGAAAATTTTAATTGATATTACATGCATATTTTGCAAACTGGAGCTTTCCTTTAATGGGCATTTAGAAAAAGATGACCTAAAAAATCCTGGAAATTTTAGAGCTATATTTCATCTTTTGCTCAAAAGAAATGTAGATCTAAAAGAAACGTGGATTAAAATGGGATATTCTAGAGAACTCTTTGAAATTATTCATAATGAGCTATTTGAATGCAAGTTTCCTCACAAATAATGGGTTGCCCAAATTCAATTGGTATAGCAGTCAGAGAAGCACAAAGTTACAAAAATAGTCTTCTTGATTTAAAATTTGTATTTATTCTCTCTGTTTTTGACATCCACAAAACTGAATTACTTTTTAATTTGGTGCTGGTGAAAATTAACAGCAGTCAGATCAGTATTGTCGCTGACTCTGACGGTGCTTCATTTCTGAAAAATGTAAGGAATGAAGAAAAGTGGTTTGAAGCTTTTCAAATTGCTGAGAAGGCAAAGGTTATATATCTCCTGCACCGAAAGAAGATTTTAGTGAAAAGAATCAAGGTATTTCTGAGTACAAGCAATTGTACCATGAAATTCTGATAGTAACTCAGATAATAACTCAGAAGTAAAGTTTTCAAGATTAGAAAAACATATGTTTCTTAAGCTAGGTGATACCACTCAATTTTCAAAATTTTGTGAAGAATTTCCAATGGATGTTTTAGTTTCTTTGTTGCAAAGCTTTGGTGAATTTTTTAACAAAGATAAATTACGAATAGAATTTGAAACCATATTTTCGCCCCTGCAAAAAGAAAAATTCTAAAGTTCAAATATGACTACCCTAATAAAACAAATGATTTAAAATGAGTTTAATGAAATTCTTCCAGAGGCTTTCCGAGTATTTAGTTTGATTGCAACAATTCCAGCAACTAGTTCTTTTGCAGATAGTTATTCCTGTGTGAAACAAGTGAATATGTACTTAAGCAACTCTAGGACCCAAGATAATCTTTCTGCTCTAGCGTGCGTGAGGAGGGAATACTCTACAAACTTCAGCAAAGGGATAAATGGTATGATGACATTATTTCCTGATTTGCTAAGAAAAAAGAACATGTTAAATTTCTGTTTAAAGAATAAATTGCATCAAGTTGCACGTCCTTAGCAGTTTCTCATGAGAATGTAGTGTGTACATAGTGTGTACTACTAGTGTGTACAATTTTACTTACAGGCAAAGAGAATCTCTGAAGGCCAGTGATGTCATGGGTGTGTACAATCTGAAGGGAATATGATATTTCAATAAAACTATTAACTAATAAATAGTTTTGACTAAGAGAATGTTTGGTCTGTGGTACCATTGTTAGCATAATGTAACAATAATAAAATCAAGGGAGCCCAGACTCTTTCCAACATTTATCCATTTGTTACAAACCTTTCTAAAATCAGTTTGTAGGCTGAGGTCTGTTGCATCATGAAGTGTGACCGAAGAATCTTGGTAGATAGTAAATAAAAAAGATATACATCCATGTGGTGTCTTTTATTAATCAATGATCTTCAAGATTTCAAGTGAACATGATGGGGACCAAAAAGAATCAGATGTCAAAATTGAAGTAGTCTTGTTCTATTTGTTATTAAAAATTCAGTTATTCAACATATTAATCAGACATACCTTGCTCCTGTTATCATTGGGATTTCTTTTGTAACAAAGTGTATATTTTCAAGTACCACTTTTCTAAGCTCCCTTTTCATTTTAACTTTTTTATTTACAAAGAACATATTTTACTAGTAAATAAGTAAAATACTTTACAGAAAATGAAATTATAATTTTAATGAAGGAAAAAAAAATGGAGTTGGTTTTACATTAAACCACTTACATAGTTACCAAATAACTTGGAGAGCATCTTCTCCGTATGCGGCATAACAATTTTTCAAATTACTGGGTAGGAAAATCAGGAATTACACATAATTAAGGAAATAAAATGTTTGTATTGCATAAGGCTTCAGGGCCTCTTTCAAAATTTCAGGTGAGCCATCCCCCCCACCTTCTGTGTACACACTTATGCCTATATGTATATAAATTGATTAATACCATTTAAATTGTTACTTTTGATTTATTGTTTACACCTTTAATGTATCATATATGAATAACTACAGTAAACAAATTAGTCAAGTGTGTTAAATAATAGTAGTAGTAGTATTGTGGACAGTAAAATATTTTGCTGAACGACTGAGAGATTAAGGCATTAACATGAAAAAAATGTTCTTAATCTATGATTCTCAACATATCTTAAAATTCAAACAATGATAAATGCTATAGTAATAATCAAATGTACAGTTATTGGATAAATTGTACTGCTTCAAAGAAAACATTGACATTGTTAGGTAATTAAAAATGATTTACATATTTGCAACTATTATTGTCATTTTAACTCCGTTCAGTATAAAAAGGACAAATTTTTTTCAGATTTGTATATTAACACAAGATTCATTTCTTCTTACACTGTTATCTTTTGTGGTGTGGGGAATGAGGTAAGTGGAAGTTCCATCAAAATGGAAGATGTTCTGGTTGTAGAAGAAATGGATTTATTTAATTTTTATTAATTTACTTTTTCTGAATGTATTTTTTATTATATGCTTAGAACATTTTGAAAGTTCGATGCAAAATGTACACTTATTTCTGAATATTTTGTCTTGTCTGAATATTTTGTATTTATACTTGTCAAATGCATTGTGAATTGTTTATTGCTAATTATTTCTTTCTGTAATTACTTATTTTTTATGTTCATTTTTTAATAAAATGTTTCTGTTTGAAAGTATAATTTTGATTGTTTTATTGTAAATGTGTTTCATTACTTATGTCTTTGAGATTTTTCTATGCATGATGTAAAGTACATTTTCCTTTTATTAGAAGTAGACTTTTTCCTGTACACATTAAAATACATGATTTCATTTAATTATTAAATACAATTAATGTTCAATTCAATCTTATTGATCCCGTATGTTTTTTGCATATATGCAAGTGTAAAAATCATTGTTTTTCATGTTGCAGGTAGCTTTGGCATGTGAACTCCAAAAGCCACTTTTCATTCATGAGCGTGAAGCTCATAAAGATTTACTTGATATTTTAGAAAAATTCAGAGAAAATTTACCTACTGTCGTTATGCATTGCTTCACTGGTTCCCTAGAGCAGGCTGAAAAGTATATAAACATGGGAATATACATAGGAATAACAGGTAATTCAAATTACATTGTAAGGACTGGCTTGAACAAACACAATATTGAGCAATACTGATTTCAGGGTACCTATGTAAAGATAAATCTGACACTGGTGTTCGCAAGATTCTTGAAAGTGGATTGATTCCTCTGGAACAATTGTTGGTCGAAACTGATTCTCCATTTATGTATCCAAACACAAGGGCATCCAAGCTTCCTACACATGTTAAAGAGGCTCTCACAGATAGGTAATTATTGCATCAAGAGTGGAAGAAAACCTTGAGAATATAGTATTATGATATGCCTTATCCTTTTGTTGCAGGTCTCTCATGTTTCTGCAACGCTATTGTACATTTCAACGAAATGAACCTTGTTCATTGCCTGCAATTGTAGAAATGATTGCAGCTTTTATGAAGAAACGTCCAGAAGAAGTTGCTCTAGCTACAGCTTTCAATTCAATGAAAGTTTTTGGACTGACATAATCCTAAATTTGCAATTCAATAGGTGCTATATTGATGTAAAATTATATTACCATGGTGTTTTATATGCTTAAATATTTTTACATGTTGTTGTATAATATAAAAAATGTATTTACTAATATGGAAATAAATGAATGTTATTGTTACAGTTTTGAATTTTTGTGGTTTTGTTGAAATTGCAAGAAAGTAGTTGGGCTTACAAATCAAATTTTGATCTTACCCTAAGTATAAATGTTGGTTATGAAGTAAATAAATGTGGAAATGTAAGGACTAATAACTTGAATTGGTCAAATGTTGGCTGGATAAACTTGTAAGCTGAGTATTGGTGATAGAATAGTAATATAATAAATTACCAAATAGAAATCTTGAAAAATTTTGTAAAATGAATTAACTGAATAACAAGTGAAATTTCAAATTATTACACATCTGTTTTGATGTGTCAATGATTTTTCTTTAATTTCACATTTCTTTGGTAATTTACGTTTATTCAAACTAGCATATGAATTATAGGCCTACAAGGAAAGTAATGACTGCTCAGTTTTCTAAGAAAAATTCATAAGTTGCGGTTCGCAAATGCGAAATCGTGAACGAGAAAACTGCTATTGACCATGTTTTAAGACAATATTAACCCAAGTAATATTGAATATTACATTTTAATATATTTGTGCCATCTCGAAGGTTTATCAATCGCAATAAGTGATACACGCATGATCTGTGCATGATGTATTAGTAATTTTATTCCGCTATGGGTTTGACCGAACAATATTAGTATCGACTACTTAGGGCTAATAAATCTTTACGGAACATTGTTAATCCGTTTTAGACAAATTTGCTTGCAAGTTTCTGGATATCAGTTCGAGAAGAGTTGTTGGAAAGATTAGAACGTAGCGTTGATTATTGGCTATTGTATTAATCTGTTTTCATCAGCTCGCAGGGTTAAACCAGTACATTGTTGCCAATGCATCACATGCTTGTCATTTGCACTCGTTTTTAGGGGGAGTATCTCGAAATAAATTGCCCCACTAAAAGTAATACGACTGTGACTACCTTTCCTTTCCATATACCCTAATTAAAAAGTCATTTCATTTTAATGTGGATATTATACTTTATGAGAAATTGCAACACCTGTAAATTTGCAATAATTGCAGTCGAGGAAAGACAACATGGCGCCCTGTGTTTGACAGTTCGATGAAGTAACCAAATGGAAAATAGGTCGATAGTTAAGACTTAGACGTTGGTCGATCAGCTGGTAAGGACATTACATAACGAGGATTAAATGTTTGTGTTTTAAAAACAATAGAATGTCTTTAGGTCATTTCTCTAGCAGTAGGATAGTGTGATTGTTGTTATCGTCTAACCTGGCCTGGACACATGTAGAGTGAAAGTTAAATCAAAATGTTGGTTTTAATTGTCCTACCAATCTTAAATTGCAATGATTTATAAAGCATTTTTGCAGTTATGCCTTCCGACGGTTGCCGTAGCAACATCTAGACTTTAATGGTATGTTATATGATGATAATTGCCGATGACACAAGTAAACAAATCTCAATGAATACCATACGTTTGAATTCACCGTAGCGTGATAAAACAAATGGGTGCCAGTCATGTTATCAATTAACCTCGTCTTATGATTCAAGATTTTTTGTTTAGCGTAATGTTCAATGTAGTATTATCCATCTGAACGTGTGCTAATTGATTCCGGCAATTGTGATATTTTTATTTTCAGATGATCATGGGGGGGAATCCCTACCTACAACTGTGAAATTTTGTCAGAAGTAACATGTCAATGAATATAGAAGTTGGAGGTTTTACCTTCATTTCTGATTTTGATTCTGGTAACTTGGGCCGTGTAGAATTAGTGGCCAAAAAAACTCATGGTAAGCATGATAGCATTAGTTTTAATGTGTATTCGTATTTCTGTTTCACATTTCTGTTATTTTATTCTTGTTAATGTTTCTCATTTATATAATTCAAGGTATATTAGAGAATAGTAATTAAGCTGCAGTACAATATGATTTTATTATTTCTACTTTGCAATGGTATCAAAATGTAGGTGGAATAATTTATTTCTAAAGTGATATGTTCTAGTGATATTCATTTTGCTTTGTATACATTTTTGTTTAAGTGTATGTGACCAATGTATTTATTCCTTAAAAGCAATACAAAATCATTAATGAAACTAAACCAGCAAAAAAATTAAACTTCACTTTATTAATTATTAAGCTGTTGTATAGTAAAGCATGTCAAAAGCTTGAAAAGCTTCTTTTGCTGATGTCTAAATGTATGTTATCTTTTTTGGTGGAGTTCTTCCATGTGGACATTTATGCTCATGAAATATAAAACAATAAATAAATTGTACATGCTTTTTCTTTCATTTTTTCTCTTTTTTTTAACTTGTTAATTTGTTTTGTTTGTAATGTATTATTTGTAAAATATATATTTTGTTATTCTAATGCTAATATTGCTATTTTAATGTTAAATATTACAATTTTTCTGTATTTTTACAGTTCCTGTAGTGATAATATTTCTCATATTGTTGGGGGGAAAAAAGAAAATTAAAAAGAATGATTGAGCTTTCTTTATCATCTTTCTCGTTTATTTCTGTTTCTTCCTAAATCATAAAAGTAGTTACAAATGTAATTTGGGAGCCTAATTGACTTAGATTTTGAACAAGAATAGAATTGTGTGACCCCTCTGACCTCCTCTCGGTAGTGCTGTGCCCTTTTCCAAAGGCTGAAGTGTAATGAAAGTAATATTTGTTGATGTATTGGGGGTAGTAGAATGTAAGCATGGCAAAAATATTTATGGTTTGATATGTGTCATGCATACATAATATATAGCTCATATATGTGCAAATTTGTAATTACGATATTTTGTGAATAATATAATATGCATGATAGTGTTTATTTCAATTGATGATAGAGTGTGTATGTTTAATTCATTAACTTTACTTACTTTCTCAAAAAGGTTTATATGTAAAATTCCCTCCTGTTTGTATTTGTGGAACAGAAAATACTACAGAGGCAGACAAGCCTTCCCCTGATGATGATGTTCCTGATTTTGAGTTCAATTTGTGGACTGCACCAGATTGTGCTGGAACCGAATATGAAAACGGCAATCGAACTTGGTTTTATTTTGGAATTAGAGGTACATGTGGAAGTAAAATATTATTTTCCAGATTTTCCTTTTTCCAGATATATATTACTTTTCTTTACATTTTGTTGCTCTGCTCTAGGTGGGACACCTTGTGCTAACATGCAATTGAATATTGTGGATCTGAACAAGCAGACGAAGATGTATAGTCAAGGAATGGCTCCTGTGTGTCGTATAGTTCCTGGTAAACATCACTGGGAAAGGATAAAAGAAAAACCACAGTTTCGTGTGAGTTGGAAGGTCATAAACAGATAAGTTAATAATTTACACTTTTTTTATAACATTTTTTATTTGAGAGAAATGTAATGGAAACTGCCTTTTCAGGTTGTGGATAATGTATTCATCTTGACTTTCAAGTATCGTACCCCTGAGAATCCAAGAGCTACTGTGTATTTTGCTTTCACGTATCCCTACCCTTATTTTGAATTACAGAATATGCTGCACACTATTGATAATCGATTTAAAGTTAACCAAGGTAATCTATACATTGAAAATGCTGGGTATTATTCAGAACAAAGTTTGTTTCTTTTTGTTTTTTGCATTGCAAAATCTTTTTTCAGATGAATCTCGGAAACGAAGTGTTGATTTAGACGATATATATTATCATCGAGAGTGTGTTTGTTATTCTTTGGAGGGTAGGCGAATAGATCTTATTACCATTTCTTCTCATCATTTTATAACAGAAGATCAAGAACCACGTTTGAAATTTTTATTTCCTGAGGCTGATCATCCAAGACCTTTTCGTTTCACTCAAAAGAAGGTAGGGATATTCTTATTAATACTTATCAACTGTCCCCTTTTTTCTTGAGATGTTCTGGTAATTAATTTAACTGTCATTGTTGACCTTGTATAATTTCCTCCACAGATTGTGTTTGTTAGTGCTCGTGTACATCCTGGAGAAACACCTTCCAGTTTTGTAATGAATGGGTTGTTGAAATTTCTTCTCCAAAGAGATGATCCTGTTGCAGTTTTACTGAGGAAAAATTATGTTTTCAAATTAGTTCCAATGTTAAATCCTGATGGAGTATGTAATGGTCATTATCGTACAGATACACGTGGGGTGAATCTTAATCGTGTATACTCAAGTCCATCATTTGTGTTACATCCTGCAATTTATGCTGCTCGTTCTTTAATACTATATTATCATCATGGACAAGAAATAGAAGAAGTTGTGACAGGACCTGTGTTTGACCCTGCAAGCAGAAAGTTTAAATCACGATCAACTCCTCTTGTCACAGAATCAGACTCTGCTGAATTTTCTGATGTTCTTTCTCCTAGTTCAGATTTGCTAAGTTTAAGTAATGTTAAGTGTTTAGATTCTATAAATGAAAATGACCTAGAATCTTCTTCAAGTTTAGAAAATCAGCTGTGTATAGACTCTGTAAATCAAAAACAGATTATTTCAAGCATTGAAAATCACATGTCATGTCTGTCTTCAATTCAAGAAGATTCCCAGAATGCCTCAAACATAGAAAATCAAGTGTCATGCCTTACGTTAGATGAAAAAAGTGCCATTCACTCAAAGGATTATTCTAACACATCCAATGTTTTGTCTGGTATCTCTAATCAAGTTGATGTTTTGTCTGTTATTTGTGAAGCGGTGATTAGAAAGGTATTTGATATGAATGAAGTAGACAAAAAAGCCTCTACGTCAGTTGGAGAAAACTTTCAAAATGAGCTGCTTGTGGGTACTACACAGGAACAAAATGCAGGTCAAAACAAAGCTTCTGAATATTCACAGACTGAGGCCGAAGAGGCCTTAATTGCACAAAGAAGTGAAACCAGCTTAAGTGTAGGGAGTGTGGAAAGTTCTGTTTGCAGTGGAAGCTATGGCAAAAGCAATTTTATCAATGAAGATGTTTTCAAAGAGCAGTTGAAATGTGGAGGTATATTCCTTTTTGTATCTGGATTATAGATTTGAACTCTTTTTATATAATTTAAATTCCATTTACACGATTTATCTTTTACAGAACAAGGAAAGAAAAATATTTATACTCCTCCAGAAAATTCTGGTTTATTTCTTTATCTAGACTTACATGGTCATGCCTCAAAGAAAGGTAGGTACATGTTATATACATGTAAACTCAACATTCAAAAATCAAACTTATTTGTTAGTTTAATACATTCATGTGTTTTAGGTATCTTCATGTATGGAAACCATTTTGATAATATTGGAGATAGTGTGGAATGTATGTTACTACCAAAAATTATGTCCCTGAACAGCCCGAATTTTCATTTCTCAGCATGTAACTTCACTGAACGAAATATGTACCTCAGGTATGATTTTTAAGTAATTTATTTTCTTTTTTTTAAGTAATTTCTTATTATTCATGTTATTTAAAAAAATATATATATTTAGTGAAGTTAAAAATCAACCAAATGAATTCCAGATGTTTCAGACTTGTCTAAAAAATAATAGATAAAATAATCAGATTCACAAATTCTCCTCCAGGTAATGAGAAGGTATTTAAATTTGCATCTAAGAAGAAATGTTATGTGTAAACATATAATTTTGATAGAAAATTATTAATTTTGTTCAGTAATTTCCTTGACTACTAAAGCAGAGGGTTTAATTCATGATTTACTTGATCAAAACACAACTTGTAGAAAGAATTAAATGTTGAGTGCATTGTTGTAGGTACTTTCAGTGAACTTTTGATTCTGGTAAAAATATTTAGATGCATTTAGGTGTCAGCATATTAGCTTGTGCTAAATGGAAGGAAGGGAAAGGATCAAATTTTGTCATATGATACAGTTTCTTATTCTACTCTTAAATTCCAGAGAGTCAATGTTAGACTTTGCTTTAGAGTTCTTATTATTTTTTTAAAGGATGTCTCAACAATTTTCTCTTGTAAAGGAACTTTTGTTTTGCAAATGCTCATGGTGTTGGATACTATTCAACCTCTCATTGTTCACATTACTATTTGGGAGTATCATTAAAAAGTTTGTCTAGGTTAAATTAAATATTGGAAAATTATTATTCTTTCTTCCTCTTAAATTATAGACAATCACTCTTAAAAATTTATTTCATATGGTCAAAACATCAATTATTACTATGGGGCAGAATTCTATGATTTTGTATATCTTTGTCCGTTGCATAACTATGTGAAATTTCTTGACATTTGGTTAGTATTGGATGCTATGTAGACTATTACATTAGTGCATATTTTGTTGATTTTTCCTTTTGGTGTATATTCATGTAATTGTGTGCACATTTTTGCATATTTCGTAACAATAGAGACTTTCCTCTGAAACGTTTCATATTTTCCTAGAATCTACTATTTATTTGTGAGCGTGTATTCATTAGAATGAGCTTGCCACAGCTCCTTTTTTTCTTCTTCTATAGATGATAAAATACTTGTGCAAATGTAGGATATTTCTTGGTATATTTTATCAACCAGGTAAAAGAAATGGAACAAGACATACAATGTACATCACTAAGGTGAATATTTTCGCCAATTATTTCTGTTGTGAAGTTAGGTGAATTGTATTAAGTTTGCACAAAAACCTACTTTTTCGTCCAGAGCATGCTTCTCCTAAATTTTATCAAGATAGGTTTATAAAAGAAATGAAACATTCTTAATGTTTATTGCACATTAAAGTGCATATTTCAGAATTGTTTGATCATAAATGCATATTTTTAATTGTATTTTTTGAAGATTTTAAAGGGCTTAAAAATCCTCTCCCTGGTTATGACATGTTTGGAAATCATTCATTTCCATCTTCACATAAACTGCAAAAGGAAATATCTTTACGTAGTAATTTTTAATTTAATTTTACATTAATAAAATAATTTTTCTTTTTTTACAATTTCCGTTTGTGATAAAATATTAATTATTAGAGGATGCAGTATGGGATAAAAAGAAATTAAATAAGGAAATTTGGTTATATTAAGAAAACAAATTTACCAGCCCAGAAGCAAAATTCATTATCTCAGCATAAGATTTATCTTGTAAAAAAGACTTTGACAATGTCAAAATTGAAGATATAGAATTGTGAATGTATCCTTGACTTGTTTCAGATCAAATGTGTTTACAAACCATAGTATGTGACCACTTACTTTCAAAATTGAAAAGACATCAATAAGTTATGTTCAAGATAAACAGAGACTGTTCTTTACCTTTCTTTAATTTCTCTATGGCTGAAACACTTCTTCCATTGGCTAACCTGTCGATTTATCCTCCCCCCTCCTTTCTGTCCTTTCACTTCATTGTTTTGCAACTCACAGCATGGATACTCGACATTGATTCTCCCAGCCAAACGGCATAGTTTTTGTAGTTATAGCTTAAATGAATTGCACCATGGACACACTTAAAGATGTGTTAATTTTTAGTTTTATAAATTTAAAATAACTATTTTCCAGGTAAGTTTCTCAGCTTTTATTAATTTTATTGTTTATTCTTTCCATGACTATTCATTTCTTAATATTACCAATTATCATTTTTTTATAATCAAACAAATTGTACAAATAGCAAAACACTTTATTATTATCAAATTATTTAGTACAAATATTTACTCTGGAACTTATCTGAAGTTGGAAACAAAATATTTCCAAAACTTAACCGATGTCAAATGAAGTAAATAAATTTATAAGTGTGATTGTCTGTAATTTAAAGGAAGAAATAATAATAACATTAATTCTGGAACAAGACAATACCGTCAATTTGTTTTCATTAAATTAACTATTATTATACAGTTATATATGATAGTTCTGTTCTACATTATTTGCTCATGTCATTAATTAATTTTCTGAAAATCATTTAATGAAAATTTAAAAAATTAACAATTTATTTATTTAATGCTACATACGATAATAATGATAATTAATACTATAAATAAAAATTAACTATCTAAATTAATTTATAATCTTTGTAACAAAACAAAATGATAAGTAGGATCTAGTTTTTAATAGCAATATGTTTTTTCAATGCAATCATATGTTTTTTCTGAATGATTTGATTGAATTTTATAACAATGTATCCACAAATTCAGCTATTGTAGTGAAGAACGTGCATTTTTATTGTGCACATTAATTCATAAATTTGTCATATATTAAAGGTACAACAATAAAAAGATTAAAATGTGACCCCACACAATGTTTCATGTAATATTGCCACAAATAAGAGTTACAGTATAAATCGTTTTTGAAATGTGACACATGTAGTCAATTCACTGATACCTGATGCAACTCATTGCAGCACTGATGTAACTCATTGCTGCGAGAGGTTGACAATATGGCACTTATGGTGGCTCTATTCAGTTTGATCACTATCTCATAATGTGACAATATATGAAAAGTAAAGTACTTCAACCGAATAAAGCTCAAGTTTTTTTTTCTTCATATTTTTGGAGTAAAGTTCTTCAGCTCTGACAGGGAAATATTATTTTAGTAAACTATTTGATGTTAAAGTTAATGCAGAAAAATGATTTAATGTGCAACAACACTGTAATAGCACTTAAAACAGCAGCAGTGGGAAGAGAAATGCTGGAAACGACTGCAGGCAAAGGCTATTATTTGAGCGGACAGGTCGCTGTGCAAGAGGTCTGTAAACGTGTCATACATCAACACCAACTTTTCAGTGATATCAAAAACCATCACATAGATGGAAAATGTTAGTACTCAATTGGATGCACTGGATGTTGTGCAATATGTGCAGAATGAATAGGGTTGAGCTTATATTCATGTGGCTGTTGAAGTGAATAAGCACAATGGCGTAGTGTTGCAGTGTTCTCCAACAAAAACCTGAGTATTCATCTACAATATGCAAAATTAGTGACATTTCTGGAAATGTTGCAACATTTGAACACTCCTGTCACTTTCTGACAGGTGCCCATCTTTTACAGATGAAGAAAGTGTATTTTGTGTCGTTACTTCGTACATACATTCCTTGTCCGTTGATGGCATTTACAGGAATATACATGTCCAGAGAACTGTGTTATGTGATAGGAGACATAGGTGGACTTGCATCCAGTCCAAATTGCTATCTGCCTAAGAGCCTGGTTTTCAATGTGGACTCCACACATCACCAGCATGGTTAGTTCGGAAATGGTTCTGTAGGAACAAGCAACTCTCAGCCTTCCTTTCCTCCAAAGGGCACTCATGTGCAGTTTTATGTATTCTCTTATGAGTGCAACTCCCTGTATCTCTTATCCATACACGATAGAGTGGGTGAGATAAGAAGCCACTGCTTGCTTGATGTTGGTCCTCTGTCTTTTGCCATGAGCTTGCTCAGTGCCCCAGTCTCTTTTGATGCGTTGTTCTCCGCCTGCCTTAAATTTCTCCAAAGATGAGTTTGGTGTCTAACGTAAGGCCCAGGTATTTTACGAAATGTTTTGCCCTGATAACACCTGCGTTGCCTGCCATTGGGATCAGCATTCTTAAAGAGAAGTTACTCTAATGTCCAACACTCACCATGCTGGATACTCTGATTCTCATAAACTTTCACTAGTTGGAACAACACCATGCTCAGCAACACCATACACAAAAAGTATATTTAAATTTTGAAGTGCTATAGAATATTAGAAAAAAAGGGTTTTAGAGATGTTTTGCATCTGGAGCTTACTACATTTGAATCAAAAGATTGTCATGACAATCTAAGAAGTACAATGTTCAAAACCATTCATATGAATAAAAATTGGTGTCATGGAATACCAAAAAGGGTACAAATGCACCCCTGGACTGGTTCCTAGTTAGTACATTTAGAACACCTTAAAATTTCTCTTAAAAATTGAAGTTATTTCACACATCATTAATGGATTACAATAACAGAAGACTGTTCTGTCTTCCTAAATATGCCAAGAGCTATTTTTTTTCCTGGAATAAAAGAAAGTGCCTTCTTACCACTCAATCCATTGAATTGTGGAAATAAAATTATATTCTGTACAATCATTACACATCTATATTTCATTAATGCTATCTTCACAATTCTTATTCTACATAAAAGGGCCCAGATGAACAAGTGAATAAATCCTGTTGCTAAATTGCGAACAAAAAATCCTTTAAGACGTGGTGTTAGCAGAATCCTTTTTTTTGTGGGTCCTTTATTCCGAAAAATCAATTGACGGCAAAACGTCCGTCCGTCAGTCAGTCAGTCAACACTACTAGCGCTTAAGCAATTTCTAGGATTCTTTCCAAATTTGAAACACATTCTTTAAAATTCTTTAATTCAAAAATATTTCAAAAAGGGCTCCAAATTTTATCTTTTAATTTCTTGTAAGAATAGAGTAACATACACTTATAAAAGTGGCATAGGTCCGATTTTCACCGTTAACTCCAA